TTGTGAGGTCCACACCTTTTGATGACTAACAAGGTGAGCTTCATCACATGGCTATCTCTTAGTAGCTCATCTAGCAAAATGAGTCGCCACCTCATACCCATTATATATGAGTGTCCTCGTACCTTACGTTTCACAAATTTACCATGTCCTGCACCCATACGGGTACCTGTACCCATTTCCATCATTTTGCTAAATGAGCTACCAAGAAATAAATTTGTGAGGTCCACACCTTTTGATGACTAACAAGGTGAGCTTCATCACATGGCTATCTCTTAGTAGCTCATCTAGCAAAATGAGTCGCCACCTCATACCCATTATATATGAGTGTCCTCGTACCTTACGTTTCACAAATTTACCATGTCCTGCACCCATACGGGTACCTGTACCCATTTCCATGCAACTTAGAAGCTCACTTGCAGACACTAGATTACTGAATGAATTTCTTAGCTATTATTATGCAGTACCCAGAAGTTGTAAAAATGTGGTGTGTGTGGTCCCTATACCCTACCTTTCACAAATTTACCATGTCTCGTACCTGCATCCGTACACGTTTCCATACAACTTAGATGGTCACTTGTTTGCAGACACTGAATACTGTATGAATTTCTTAGCTATTATTATGCAGTATCCACAAGATGTAAAATTGTGATGTGTTAGCTGTATATGTATTATTTTATTTCAAAGTTCATAGGAAATAATTTCAATTTGGCTCTTCTGTTTTGTCTCATTTCTTTTATCTTCCCCTTCTTTGTACTCTTTGTTACATTAGAAATATATTTGGCAAGGCTCCCCTTTTGGTGAAACTTCATGATGAATATTATAAGTTTTTCCTGCTTGCCGAGTGCCAGCCGCATTTCAAATATCTATTAGATTCTGTCAGCAATCTTTATGCATTCTCTTATCCTTCTACTCTTGCAAAGTGGTTACAATTTTTAATGGCCTCTATGAAGTAAAATAAAAAAGAAAAACCTGTAATATTATCATAATTACTTTGAGAAAATCAGCTTGTAATAATGCCTTGAAACCATCGTGAGAGAAGCTAGTGATTTAGTTTGTGAAGATGCCTCTAAGATGCAATGAAGAGTGTGCTAGGAGTTTAATTAGAGCGTTATCAGACATGTTTTATTTCGGAGTTCAGAATCAATAAATGTCTGCTATGGCACTCAAATTTGATGTCATTTTATAGTTTGTAGCCATCACTAACTTTATTAAGAGGATTGAGTAATCATGTAATCCTACTGTTCATGATTAAAGTAAATATATCATTTTTTTGTTTCCTGGTATATCCAATTTTATGTTGACTTTTTAAACAATTCACTTTGGGTGCAAGAGCTAAGAATGATGAAGCCTTGATTTGTGAATGCCATGTAGTTAAGAGTATTACCAACCTCTTTCATCTGGATGTTATGGGAATTAATATATCTGAGGCCATGTCTGACTCATTGTGGTCAATTAAGTGCCTAACTCAATACAGTAAATGACAAGTTATCTGAAAGCTCTATATGAAAAGAAATTAGTGTTTTGAATTCATCTCAATGTTTTCTTTTTTAGCACCTTTAATCTTTCTTTTTCCGAATTTTCTTGCAAGCCATTTATGTTTAATTTTCAGGTTCTCGAGATGGCACTTCTAGATTTTCCTGGTTTGTTGTTTTTCTCAACGTACACGTTGCTTGTTCTGTTCTGGGCTGAGATATATCATCAGGTACTTCTTATTGTTTGCATTTACATGTTCCTTATCTATCATTGGTACATAGCTGAAAATATTTATGTTTTCAGGCCAGAAGCCTTCCAATTGATAAGCTTAGACCTTCGTACATGATAATCAACGGGGTTGTATATGGCATACAGGTAACAATGCAGAATTATTGATGTTATACACATAAACTAGGAATAAACTCTCACACCTTATGCAGATCTGTATCTGGATATATGCACAAGTCAGCCCGAAGCCAGTTGCTATGGAAATTGCTAAGCTATTTTTGGCAGGTTTATATGTAATCACAGTAGTTTAACATTCTTTATTTTTCTAAAAGAAGATTGGAAAAGAAAATGGCTGACAAGAAGTTGAATTTTGTGGAGAGTTTGGCTTGAATGTCGTACTCAATAAGTCATCAAAAGGATTGTTTTGTTCATTATCAGACTCTAGATGCTTAATATTTGGCGTACCTTTTCTTAAGTACTATTACCATTTTATGCAGCGGTCTCGTTCTTTGCTGCTCTTGGGTTCTTGATTTATGGAGGAAGGTACTAATTTCACCAATACCTTGGTTGATCACAGGTCTAGTTATGTTGTCATTGTATCTGCTATTGTGAAGATTCTATTTTATTTTTGTAGGTTGTTTTTTATGCTGAGGCGCTTCCCAATTGAATCTAAAGGCCGTCGAAAAAAGTTGAACGAGGTAGTTATAAATATCAATAAATCTGACTTATTAATGATTGTTTCTCAGTGATATAGAATTAATTGTCTGCACTGATCATTTGGTTTATTACAAACATTAAACGATAACATTGCAGGTTGGTTTTGTGACTGGAATATGCTGCACATGTTTCTTAATAAGGTGCATTGTGGTAA